TTTTCATATTAATTTTTATTATTACTAAAAAGGCTATACTAGAGCTATTTAGTCTACCACATCCATATCAAGGACTCAGTTTTGATCTGAGGGAACATGACAGCTTGAGCAAAGTTCTTTGTTCAGACAGCACACAACATACCTTAGCAGTGCACAGTGCGCAGCTGTTACAACACTAATTGAAATATGTTTTTAAATGTATCAGGTTTCTGAACATTTGCAGAATTTTTTTTTCCCCCCCGTGTGTGTAAAACCCAGTATTTCAGACATTTAAAAGGACTGCCTAATCCCTACAATGCATTAGTAGGCCATAAAATAAAACTGAATTAAAGTATTTTACACTGGGGTTGGGAATAATTCTACACCTGTAGGTGGATGGGGAGAACCTACAGCTGTAGGTAGTCCTGGGTACTTTATCAACCATGTAGCTAACACACAGAAGGATTGTCATGCAGTGTCATCACATCACTGGAAAAGAGATGGGTTGAAAGGAAGCAGATTTGGACATCCCACCCTACAAGTTTTCCCCAGTCTCGTCTGAGATAACTGGTGTCATCCCTGGAGGATGGAGCTAGGAGAGAGGTACCCCCGGCATCTGAAAGGAGGGCTCACGAAACGCCTGTGTGCCGTCAGGTGGTCGCCTGATGGAGATGCCACGTTTTGCGGTGAAGCTAAACGATGAGTCTCTCTCAAATATCTGGAGGAAATGTTTCAGCTTTTTTTTTTTTTTTTATTCCACCATCTGCAGAAAGAGGTTCCCACAGGGGGCTGCGCTCAATTTACAGAGGGGAAATCATAACTAATCTGTTTTCAAAGTCTCCAAAATTGCATTTCTGTTAAAACAAAACAACAGCAACAAAAAAATATCTAACAGTAAGTATCTCTCAGTCTTCCTGGGCTAAAAGCCTTTGACTGAAGAGCTGTGCCTTTCCCATTTGCAGTGGTATAAAAGCCATAAGACACCGGATCATAAGCTGTCACTGGTCCCAGACTAAATATCACCCATCCTTTGCCTAAGGCAAGTGGTTCTTTTTTTCTATGGGAGAGGACCAAACAGAAATCCCGCTCTTGGGAGGAAAGAAGGAAACATTTTGGTGACTGTTTGTTTTTATTTTTTAAAGGCAATTCTTTTGAAGCTGCTCGGAGGGTTTGGATGTTAGATGTAGTCCCGATGGAGATGGATTAGCGGCAAGAGCACAGCGAAGCGGTCAAAGGTGCAAGATAAATGCAATTTATATATAATTGCCCAAGCTGCACCTGTTCGGTTTTGAGTAGGAGACCTTGTCTACAGAACAAATTTCATGAGTGCTGAATATATCCTTTTTTTTTTCTTTATTTGAGTGTAAAACGGGGAATTCTAAACTTGTATCAGAGTAAAGCAAGAAAAAAAATAACCTTTAAATAGCATGTAAATTTTTTATGAATCAAGCTCTAAATAAAGAAAACTCCTGAGCTGGGAATTCAAAATACTAGCCAGATTTGCTACCAGGCTCAAGAACAATATTTAGTTTACAGAATCAATCTGGAAATAAAACTAGTGCTTGCATCAGCGTGAAAGCTACAAAAATAAAAAAGAGGTCTTAATAAAATATACAGTGGAAAAGGAAAGGATGAAAGCGCTAGCACAGCTATGAGGCCCTCGACAGCCCACACAAGTAATAAAATAGAATATGATGTAATATAGAACAACAATGAAAGGATTTAAAATTTCTAGGTAGGATTCTGAAAAAGTGTTTCCAGCTTTTGTTGCAGAGCAGGCACGAAGCTACGATAAAGCTGGTGTGTAGCAGACATGGGCGTTGAGAGCAGAACAAGCGCTAACCTTCACCTTACTCCTGCATCACCCAATGCAGCGTTAATGACCAAGGGGGGCTGGGTTGCTACCCAGGAGCCAGGATGATTCTCTTTTTCTAGGTGATCCATTCCATTTTCTCTGCCGCTGACTTGCCCACTACTGCTTTTCCTCCTTATCTATGCAAAGATTTTTTCATTTGCTGAATGGCACCAATGCTTTGCCATGAAGGCAAGCCTCTTCTTCGCCTTTAGTAAGGAAAGCATCTCAAACCTCGTGCTCAGCAGTTTGGAGAAACCTGAGATTAGGCACACGCAGTATCCGCTCGGCTGATTTCAGCCTGACCAAAGTCAGGATGGGTTCATAAGACTCCAGAGGAAAATAGGGTGAGCACTGAACTCCTGTGCTTCCTGCCATGCTCTGCACCCTAATTACAGTGCTGCATCCTCTGCTTCTGAAGCAATAGGATCTCGTGAAGCTCAGGTCTAAAATGGACACATAACTACTCTTACAATTAAACAGCACCCCAAAATCAGCTTGGCAGAATTTGGTCCTTGCAGCAACCAGCAGCCTCTACACTAAATTTCAGATCAGCAGAACTAATGCAATTCACTCATTGCAGCAACACAGTAAATTTTCCTTCTGCACGTAAATCCGGAAGCTATTGTGAAATACCAATAATACTGCATAAATTATAAAATATGGATCGTGAAATTTGGGGCCCTTTTTCTACTGTGCTCAAGCTGCAGCAGGCCTGGCACACAGAGCTCCTTGATCTGCGGCCGCATGGTCCTACCAAAAGTTCTTGGGTTGACGCAAAGAACCTGCCAAATCCCGTTCTCCTTTTCCCCTGGCAGGGAAACTCAGCTCCACTGCAAGACCTACAACATTCCTGTTTTCTCCTTTACAACAATTGGTGTAGCACACAATTAAAGCAGCTCGTGTAGTTTTACTTGTCCATTATTTTTTGCTCCAAGTCATTTCTCTGGGGTTAGGAATGGGGCCTCTGCCTCTTTTAACCCTCATTCCAGCATTGGTTGCAGGAGGTACGAGGACCATGAGAAGTGATGACAAATAAAAATCTGATTGTTCAAATATCAGAACAACGACTTGAAAAAGCACAGAGATTTTTTTACATGGGAAAAAGGACATTGGTATAGACAACATCCACTATTTGTGCTTCTCTGGGAAAGATAGGAACCGTTACAATTACTCCTAAAACATATTTCTAATGAAGTTAAAACGGATCATGATCAGTTGGTCGGAAAACAGCAACACACCCTGAAAAGAAGCTTTTTCTCTTTTTTAGGTTTCGAAATGCTGGCTGAAATCCAGGCCTAGCCTTACCGTGACCCCAGATGCAGAACACCCTTACTTTCAATACGGTTGCCTCCACTGAACGCGGACTGCAGTTTCGCACCTACGTTAGTAACGCAACTGCAAGCTTTCTCCAAAACTATCAGATTCGTTTGGAATTCACTTAAGATGCATGCTAAGCCATTAGGCAAAGTCCCCGTGCAGCGTGCCTCCTGAAGGCTGTGAATGAGTTGTGGAGGCTAGCCCAGCCCAGGTCTCCAGAGCTCCCAACCACCTCAATCTGACGCCCGCGTGATGCACGGGGGCTCCGCTAAAGCAAACGCGTCCTCAGTAGCGCTTCACACCTTATACAGCGAGTTCCGTCGCAGGATCTCAGCCTGCGCGAATTAAGATTTACAACGCCCCGAAGAGGCGGGCTGGTATCATTTCCCTCTGTGTCAGAGATGGGAGAAGTTGAGGGAAAGGTGAAGCAATTTGCTGAGATTCGCGGGGGAAGCCTGCGGCGAGGCAGAAAAGAGCGCGGCGCGCTCAGCCTCAGCGCCTGCGCCTTTGCCACGGGACCGTCCTTCCTGTCTCTACGTGCCACGCTCGAGCTTGATGAGGTGCTGTGGGTTACATATAACGCCCTATTCCTGTTCTGGATCGTAAGGCTGAGTCCCATAAAATTGTTGGACGTGGGGTTGGGAAGCTGAAAGGGACAGGGCAAAGAAGAAGGAGAAAAGTCCCTGCGTGGCAGATGTGTGGTGTTTTTCTAGGCAGTACGTTCCTGTGCTACTTAAGGGCCAGAACATATTTTTCTTTTACAAATGCAGTTTATTTTGCAAATCAAGGTGATTGCACACATTTCAGCTTGTCAAATTTTCAGCCTTTCAACCATATGTCTGTCGACCTTATGGACTACCAACTTTATGGGATTCAACCATATGTCCAGATCCCGATATATATGAAGGCCAGTTCTAACATAAGAGCTTTACGGTAGTAGTGTAGTAAACCGTAATGTTTGCAGATGGCTGTAATAAAATCATTCAGGAGAGGAAAGGTGCAGGGACGTAAAGCCTTCAAAGCTTCTTCTACTGAATAAACAATTTGATCTGAATAATGTAGTGGGAAGCACATTCCACCAATGAACTAGCTGATCTAGTCCGAAATGTTGCTCTTCATCTTCTTGCCTAATCCCACGTGTATTTTAACTTCCTTTTTTATTTTCCTGTATGGGATTAGCTTAAAATTTGGAAGAAAAGTATAAGAAGGAAACATAGCAAGGTAAAGATTTTTTTTTTTAAAGACCCAGTCCACTTCTGAATTGTAAATTTTTCATATGTGAATGCCAAATGTTTATGTGCGGCCTGGAAGATGTATTAATAGAGAGGTTTAAGTTTTTTACCGTCACATGGTGAGATTGAAGGATGATGTGACTTGCTTCATTTCCTGAAGTGGGACTCAACTTTCAAAGTTAAGGAAAGTTTCCTCCTGAGTAAGCTTTTTCTAACTCTAGGAAGTTGGAGTTTGGTTTATGTCCTGCTGCACAGTAATTCACATGATAATTCACATTCACATTCATTCCGAACTTGATATCTCTATTATTTGGGGAGCGCCGGTCCTGTTTTCTCCTAACTGAAACATGCTGAGCTGATGCGTCCCCCTCGGAGAGCTCTCCACCTCCGAGCTCACCGCTGTCCGGGCTGACAGCGGGGAGGGGAGCACTGCCTACAAGGGGAACCATAGCCAGCATAGGTGTGATGGAGGGTCTTTTTCAAACCAAAACATTTATTAAGCTGACAATAGGCGCTGAGGTTTGGCAAGGTTCCTTGAACTAGACAAAAATCTGTTCCTACTCAGGAAAGAAACCTTCCCCGAGCATTAACTGAGAGGTGAAAAAGCAAAACGCAACCTGCCTGCACTGCTGGCGTGCAAAATCAGGGCGAGAGCAGCCCCCATGAGCCGTTTACTTTCAGATAACTCGGCCAGAGCCAGCTCTCGCGCTGCTAACGTCCGTGGAAGTTTTTCTATCGGATTAAACGGCGCAGGGTCAGATAGCGTCTTAGAAACGAGAAATACACTATCACTCCTCCTTCCCATGCCAGACACTGTGTTGACCAAGTTGTAGTTCTTTCTGAATGCTAAGGCCTGCCTTACTGGAAGGCAGGCAAGATCCTGAGCACCAATATTGCCACCGTGCTCATCCTGCACGATGCTGAGCACCAATATTGCCACCGTGCTCACCTGCAGTATTCTGAGCACCAAGATTGCCACCGTGCTCATCCTGCAAGATGCTGAGCACCAATATTGCCACCGTGCTCATCCTGCAGGATGCTGAGCACCAATATTGCCACCGTGCTCATCCTGCAAGATGCTGAGCACCAATATTGCCACCGCGCTCAGCATGACGTGAGCTCACCTAGCACCTGCCGAGATTCACCCCAACAGTCCTTTCCCAAGCAACAGCCATTAAAAAAGTTTAAAAATAAGTTGAACTGAGGAAAAGATATCATTTCTTCCCTGTTGAAAGCAGCAGCAGCTGCCGAACTGTTCATTGCACCAGTGTACTCATGAAAGACCGTGAGGAGCATAGCATGGACCTCAACCCACCCCTCGGCGCGCGTGGCCGCCCTACCTGTGTGCTCGTATTTGTGTCGCAGCAGGGAACTGCTCTTCTGGAATGTCTTGTCACATAAGTCACACGCGTACATGCCACTTTCCGTCTTCTTGATCTTCTTTCGGGACAGACAGGAGTCAGAGTCTGTCATGTCGTCGAGGCCGGACATGTAGTCTGGGGTTCCATCAAGCAATTCTCCCTGCGAGGGAACCACCCGTCAGCAACACCCGCTTCCACCACCGCTCCTTCCCACAGAGGAACCAGCCACCCCGGAAAAGTTAAAACCATGTCTCCTTGGGACGGTGGTCCCTCTCAGCTTAGGAACCCGTTGGTAATGAAACTACAGCTGGTGGGAACTGTGGAAATACTGAGGAGCCTCCTACTTTGCTGCCTTTGACCAACGTTCGGTCTCTGAGCACTCTGCAATAACGTGGTTTACACAAGCCGTCGGTATGTGTCAGATTGGTACTAAGTATTTTCAAGAAGTGGAAAACGCAAAGGGGAGGCTCTTCATGGATGGCAAAGGGTATCGTAATGTTTTACAGGGGTAAGTGTAAGCAACAGCTAAGAGAGCGTGCCTTTCAAAACACCAAAACTTGGGTATATTCTGTATCTGTAGAAAGGTTTTAATTGAATTTTATATTTAGGTACAAATGTTATTATTATGCAATCCATTTAAATGTATGTCTCCCGACTAAAGGCCTCGAGCTATATTTTTATATTTAATTTTGTAATTTGAAATAGGGAATATTAATAACACTTTTTATCAATGTTCTATCTATGTTAAAACAGCCTTCAGCATTAAGCAATAATGAATGTGGATCAGTAAATTATTAAATTTCTTGATATTTATTTTGTCTTGATCCAAAGAGAGTGCAAACTTGCATGATAACATACATTTCCATTTGCTATCACACAGTTCGGTTTTCTTAGACTAGGTTTGCACTAATTAATATTAGAGAAGATTAAATAGGCTTAAATACATTTACAAAGAGGGCAGATGTACTGTAAATTGGAATAGTGGAACAGCTGTTATGGAGGTGCAGTGCTATTTATGCTCCTATTGTGCAAAGAGGGATTACAGCCTGTACTGTCAAACCATACCTGATTTTCACATTTGAAACTATGAAACATTTACTGGTCAGTAAAATTACTAACAGGCCATAATAGGACATAGGGGAACATGCACAAACGTAAAAAAAAAGAAATATTAATCTATAATCAGTTAATCTCATTTCACTAAACTCTGTCCATTATATCTGAATACACCCAGCAAAAAGCTATAAAAATACGTGACTTCCGCGGAGCAGCTCTTTGCTACAGGCATGCAAGAGGCAAAATCCTCATGAATCGACTCTGGGTCTACCTGATCGAAGGATTAAACGTTGTACCCGGGCAGGAAGAAGTGCTGACCCAGATTACATATCCAAGGAAAGACTTTGCCTGAGATTAAGGGCCCTAGCTGCTACCTCTCCAAAGAATTTCGTTTAATCTCTGGGGTTTCCGAAGCTGTTCCAGATGACTGCTGGGGATTAGAGGACTGGTAGTCTGGGAACGGCAGTAGGTGGGTTGAGGGAAGGGGCCATGATGAAGCAACACGTCACATCCCCCAGACATAAGAAGAGAGAACGCCTTTCCCCTGAACGGTGGGTGAGCAACCCCCCAAAAACACGGAGAAGGACGTGTCGAGGACTTTCAATGGGATGGACCTGATACGAGGCCGTACCGCCCTTTGCATCCGGATGCAGGGGTGACTGCCAAGAGGTCTCCTACTGCTCCTTTTCCCCACGGTGAAACGTATTCACGCTCACTGTGAGGA